TAACACTACTTACGCCTGTTTCTAGCAGAAAATTCGAGAAGCTTGTTCTTCTTTAAATTTATTTCTCAGTAAACTTTCCATTCTTTCTACGTACGGCCATTAAAAAAAAAATTGATTACTCTAGAACTTCTAGATTTTTTGATAACTGACTTTTGTCTTCAATATCAATGGCGTCTTTTTCTAGTAGAATATGCGAGAATCCTGTTTTTGTTTAAATTTCTCCCTTACTATGGACCCAGTTCTTTGACCTTGTTGTTCGACCAAGCTGTTTGGCAGTGTCGAAGTAATATTGTCTTCAAATTGATTACTCAAGAACTTCTAGATTTTTTGATAACCGACTTTTGTCTTCAATATCAATGACACCTTTTTCTAGTAAAATGTGCGAGACGTGATCTTTTTGCAGGTTGGAACAGTGTTAATTGAGTTTTTGGGCTCAACGTTTCGCACACTTTCGCGAGTGGCATCTTCAAGAGCAGGGTTCGAGAGGTTCGAGAGATTTGAGAGATTCGAGAGATTTGAGAGATTCGAGAGATTTGAGAGATTCGAGAGATTCAAGAGATTAGAGAGATTCAAGAGATTCGAGAGATTCTAGAGATTCAAGAGATTCCAGAGATTCCATAATTGAGTTTTTGGGCTCAACGTTTCGCACTCTTTCGTAAGTGGCATCTTCAGGAGCAGGGTTCGAGAGGTTCAACAGGTTCGAGAGATTCGAGAGATTCGAGAGATTCGAGAGATTCAAGAGATTCCAGAAATTCCGGAGATTCCAAAGATTCCAAAGATTCTAAAAATTCTAAGAATTACAACAATTAAAAGGATTCCAAGGATTCCCGAGATTCTAGGGACTGCAGAGACTCCAGAGATTCCAGAGATTCTAGAGGTTCTGGAGATTCTAGACATTCTAGATATTCTAGAGATTCTAGAAATTCCACAAATTCTAGAAATCCCAGAGATTCGAGAGATTCGAGAGATTCCAGAAATCCTAGAGATTATAGAGATTCTAAAGGTTCTAGAAGTTCCAGAGGTTCCAGGGGTTTCAGAGATTCTAGAGATTCTTAAGATCCTAGAGATTCTAGAAATTCTAGAAAGCTAAAGTTTCCAAAAATTCCAGGGATTCTATAGTTTCTGGGGATTCTAGAGATTCTAAGGTTACCCAAAATTCCAAAGGTTTCAAGGATTTCATGGATTCTGGGGTTTCTCGGGGTTCTAAGGATTCCACGATTCGAAGAGAACCGGAGATTCGGAAGATTCCCGATATTCCGGAGACTCCGGAGACCCCAAGACTACAGAGATTCCCGATCTTCCAGAGATTCGAGAGGTTCCAAATATTCCAGAGATTCCAAATATTCCAGAGATTCCAAAGATTCCAAAGATTCTAAAGATTCCAAATATGCGAGAATCTTGTGTTTCTTTAAATTCCTCCCTTACTATGGACTCACTTTTCGGTAAAATCATTTTCGAGAAAATTTTCCACTTTATTAAGGCCCAGTTGTTTGACCTTGTTATTGGACCAAGCTTAATCCAGATCTTCTAGAGTTTTTGACAACAGGCTTTTTTCAACACCAATGATTGTTTTTCCAGTAGAATATTCGAGGACCTTGTTCTTCTTTACATTCCTTTTTTTCTGTGGACTCATTTCCGCGTAGGGTCGTTTTCAAGAAAATCTTCTACTTCGTTAAAGTCCATTCGACAAAACTATTTGATATTGTCGGAGTTATATTGTCCTCAAATTGATTACTCTAGAGCTTCTATTTTTTTTGACAACTGACTTTTGTCTTCAACGCCAGTAATGCCTTTTTCCAGTAGAATATTCGAAAATCGTCTTCTTTTTTAAATTCCTCTCTTATCTCCATAGAATCGTCTCCAATAAAATCTTCTGCTTTGTAGAGGTCTAATTGTTTGACCCTGTTATTGAACCAAAGTATTTCACACTGTCGAAGTAATATTGTCTTCAAATTCATTATTCTAAATCTTCTAGATTTTTTGACAATTAGCTTTTGCCTTCAACACTAATTATGTCCGTTTCTAGTAGAATATTCGAAAACCTTATTCTTCTTTAAAGTTTTCTCCTAGTAAACTGTGTATTCATTTCTACGTACGGTCGTTCCCAAGAAAATTTTCTACCTCGTTGTATTCTATTGTCTTCAAATTGATTACTTCAGAACTTCTAGATTTTTTAATAATTGAGTTTTGTCTTCAATATCAGTGACACTTTTTTCTAGTAAAATATGCGAGACATGATCGTTTTCCAGGTTGGAATCGTGTTAATTGAGTTTTTGGGCTCAAAGTTTCGCACACCTTCGTAAGTGGCATCTTCAGGAGCAGGATTCGAGAGGTTCGAGAGGTTCGAGAGATTTGAGAGATTCGAGAGATTCAAGAGATTAGAGAGATTCAAGAGATTCGAGAGATTCAAGTGATTCGAGAGATTCTAGAAATTCAAGAGATTCCAGAGATTCCATAATTGAGTTTTTAGGCTCAACGTTTCGCACACTTTCGTAAGTGGCATCTTCAGGATCAGGGTTCGAGAGGTTCGACAGCGTCGAGAGATTAGAGAGATTTGAGAGATCCGAGAGATTCGAGAGATTCGAGAGATTCGAGAGATTCAAGAGATTCCAGAAATTCCAGAAATTCCAGAGATTCCAAAAATTCCAAAGATTCTAAAAATTCTAAGAATTACAACAACTAAAAGGATTCCAAGGATTCTAATGATTCCAAGATTGCAGAGATTCTAGGGACTCCAGAGACTCCAGAGATTCCAGAAATTCTAGACATTCTAGATATTGTAGAGATTCTAGAAATTCCACAAATTTTAAAAATTACAGAGATTCGAGAGATAACAGAAATTCTAGAAATCCTAGAGATTCTAGAGGTTCTAAAGGTTCTAGAAGTTCCAGGGGTTTCAGAGATTCTAGAGATTCTTAAGATCCTAGAGATTCTAGAAATTCTAGAAAGCTAAAGTTTCCAAAAATTCCAGGGATTCCAGAGTTTCTGGGGATTCTAGAGATTCTAAGAATACCCAAAATTCCAAAGGTTTCAAGGATTTCATGGATTCTGGGGTTTCTCGGGGTTCTAAAGATTCCAAGATTCGAAGAGTCCGGAAATTCGGAAGATTCCAAATATTCCAGAGATTCCATAGATTCTGAAGATATCCAAATATGCGAGAATCTTGTGTTTCTTTAAATTCCTCCCTTACTATGGACTCACTTTTCGGTAAGGTCGTTTTCGAGAAAATTTTCCACTTCATTAAGGCCCAGTTGTTTGACCTTGTTATTGGACCAAGCTATTTGGCAGTGTCGAAGTAACATTGTCTTCAAAGTGATTAATCCAGATCTTCTAGAGTTTTTGACAACAGGCTTTTTTCAACACCAATGATGCTTTTTCCAGTAGAACATTCGAGGACCTTGTTTTTCTTCACATCCCTCTTTTACTGTGGACTCATTTTCGCCTAGGGTCGTTTTCAAGAAAATCTTCTACTCCGTTGAAGTCCATTTGACAAAACTATTTGACATTGTCGAAGTTATATTGTCCTCAAATTGATAACTCTAGAACTTCTGATTTTTTTGACAACTGACTTTTGTCTTCAACACCAATTATGCAATCTTCTTCTTTTTTAAATTTCCCTCTTCATTGAGTCGCCTCCAATAAAATATTCTACTTTGTTGAGGTCTAATTGTTTGACTCTGTTATTGGACCAAACTATTTCACTAGATCTTCTGGATTTTTTGTCAATTGACTTTTTTCTTCAACACCAATTACCTCTTTTTCCAGTACGATATTCAAAAACCTTGTCTTTCGTTCAGTTGCATTCTGACTCATTTCTCTCTACGATCGTTTTCAAGAAAATCTTCTAGCTTGTTGAGTTTAGTTCTTTAACACTGTTATTCGACAAAACTATTTTACACTGTCGAAGTAACCCTTGATTGATCCAATTGATGACCCTAGAACTTCTAGATTTTTTGACAACTGAGTACCAATTGTTCAGGCACTATTGTGTAATGCGATCAAAGCAATGGTACCCAATTTGCTACTCAAATGTTTTGATTTTATTTTTTCAATTTTCTGTTTTCTATATTATTAAATCTAACATTGTCACTATCGACGAGACCAACCGATGGGATGACATTTCTACCTACCACGCAGATTTTTCATTAGAAGAAGTGAGAAACTAGTTTTAAGTTTTGTACTGGTGAAAACAAAATCCAGTTTTTTCCACATCGAAGGTTTGAACTGTGTCAATTTTTCAAAGGGTTACAACGTTTCGCTCTCTTTTATGCGAAACATCTTCAGGAAATAAAGAACAAAATGTTGCCTCCATTTCATCTCTTCTTTCCCGAACTTCTCATTCTTCTTATCCTTTCTTTCTTGAAGATCCAGTTCTAGTTCGTAATGCAGAAGAAGGTCCAAACTGACTGTACAAATAGTCAGTAAATCTAATTTTTCTAGAACACAATGGATATTATTTTACTTTCAATTACCTTAACTGATTATAATTCTACATATCCAAGTGTTCTAAGAACAAAGGGTCATAAATTAAAATTTTGAAAGCACTGACTTTTATTTTTCTTGAGCAATGAAATATTGTATTGTAATAGAAGGTGGTACTACTAATAGAAACATTGTTATTCCTAGTAATACATTGTAGATAGAAGTGATACAATAGTGTTCAAAGAAAATTCAACATATAAAATATGTAAATATAACAAAAAGTGACTTCCGAGCAGTGGTTGCGTATAGGTTTCCGAATTTATGTCAGCTCTATTTTTGCTTATTTATTTTCAGAATTACGATAAATATGTAGGACTCGGGCAAAATCAAGAAAATATTATGTCTTGGAACACATGATTCAAACAACAACCGCTAATTTGTTTAACTGTGTGTAAGAAAGGTTAAACGCTATCAGGACATTTTGCGCATAAATATTGATTAAGTTCATTAAAAATGTGCTTACGACGAATATCTTAGGTTATCACAAAAAAGTCCCCTTTCCATTATGGACGTCAAATGTCTTTGTTTTCCAAAATTCTTGTGCACATGCAGATTGTGCCAATAACAAATTTGTCAAGCTTAAAAATATAGTTCAAAATATCACAGTGAACAAGTGTTAAGTGTGTCAAGCTGGAATTTACGCAGAACCTGAGGAAGATATCTCGCTCTACTTATTCTGACTACCGATAACAATAAATAAGTAGGAGTGTTGTTGTCACGAAGAAGTAGTTCAGTCTTCTCAGTGAAAATGAAGTTGTTGTGTTTAGTTATCTGTATCTGTGTTCTGCAAGCAACCCTTGTAGAATCTGGTCTAATATTTGACAAACTCTCGGCCGGTGTGTCAAAAGTAACGCAAGATATCAAGTGTGGAATACACAAAACTAGAAACGTGTTTTCTCACCACGATCACGAAAAGGACCCGTGTGACATGAGTGGTCCGACGAACAACAAAGTTGATGACAGTAAGTTGTAATTTTTGTTTGGTGTGTTATTTTTTTTTTCTTTGTACGACAGACACGACTCCCCCGATTGATACAAGACATGGAAAAGATGATCCAACCACTTTGGGTCCTGGAGGTCGACGAATAATTTCCGCAGGATCTAACTGTCCTGCAGGACAACGTGCCGACAGCGCAGGAAATTGTAGAGAAGAATGGTGATTTTTATACATGAAGCTATTTAAATAAAGAAAATATAAATTTAAAATCGTGTTTCCTTTTTACGAAAATTATTATTAGTGTGGAAGTATGAGATAAAGCATCCGCTTTTTTCCATAAATGAAGCATCGTCATTTATTAATATTTGAGCGTCCCGTCAATTAGGGAAGTTTTTGATGCAAGCAAAACCAAATAAAGTCCGGAGGAAAGAGAGGATCTGTTTAATTATTAAGGACATCAGCGCCGGCGGAAGTGCTGGAAAAGTTGCCATAAATATCCGTGTTTGCATTATAAAACGTCTTCGATTTAAATACTAAATGGATTAAGAATCCGGCGGAGGCGAATTACATAGTTCGGAGATCATAAGGAGGGAGAGCACCTCGTAATTTTTTCAATTTAATTCAAAGTCATTAGAACAAGTGGAGTGGAAACGAGAAAATAAAACAAACAAATTAGTTTCCGTGGAATTAATTTATATCTGTGCAACCAAGTGCGATCCTAATTGATGCAGAAGCAGACAGGGAAAAGCCTAGAAATCATGGAAATGCAAGGAAAGGGTTGGCCAGACTGCGAATCCAATCCCTTCGCATACCTTCATTAGCCCGCCAAAGAGTTACAACAAATAGATCGCAGGGTTTTAATTAAATCACTTGTTTGTGGAGTGCTCGATCGAAATTCATTTCGGAGGGTCCGGAAAAATTCGGAAATTTTCAATGGGTGCGTTTAAGCCGTTTACCGGCGTCCGCTAAATGAACAATGGCCATATCTGGCAGTTTTAAGCCTGTTGAGGACACACTTGAACGGGAAGGTAAAGGGCACAAAAGAGATTAATCCTGTGGGATTACCATCCGGATCGTTCCGGGTTGACCCTTGCGCGTCAGGAGTCGCATGAATTTAACTACATGCCATTTATTCCGGAACGGCTATGCTAATATTCACTTTATATGCAAAAGTCATGAGGTTAATCTCGACAATTATCGTTGAAACGGGAAAAATTCAGACCTATAGGTTCATGAATTTCGGCGTATTGTGAAATGGCGTGCTTTTATGATGTTATAGCGTTATAACATAAATGTAACGTACGAGCTTGCTACAAAGTCTTTTTCTCGGGATACGGAGATCCCTACATTGTGAAGCACAACAATATGGACCTCAATAAATCAATTATTTTTTTATTTTTATTAAAAAAAGTTTTAACTGTTTGTGTTCACCACTCATAAAATACGAAAATGCAAAATTCCTGTCTCTGACAGTCAGGTCAGTTCAGCTGTTGTAACGATTTAAGTAGAATTAGTTTTCTCTCAGGTCAGATCTCGTCAAATTAGCTTAAGTCAGGTCAAGACAAGTCAGATCAGAACAGTTATTCTAATACAATCTAGAAGACATTTTTCTTAAAATTCAACTAAAGGGCTCAAGCTAGATCAGGTTAACACAGGTCAGGTCACAACAGAACAGATTAGGTCAGGACAGGTCAAGTCAGTTATTATAATATCTAGAAGGCAGTTTCCTTAAACTTCAACTAAAAGGCCAGATTAAGCTAGATCAGATCAAGAGAGGTCAGTTATTGTAATAATCAAGAAGACAGTTTCCTTAATATTTAACTGAAGAACTAGATCAATGTGGTTGTGAGTTGTAAATCCGCCTTAGTTTTCTCAAAAAAAATTAAATTGTATTACAACCTTTCGTAATAATATAAATAATATACTGAAAGGTCGCGGGTTTATTATCTCAGGGATCACTTTTATACTGTGTCTAGTATTTATCAAAATGAATATAATCATCCACCGATGTTAGTTGTCTGATAAATAATAATAATAATAATAATAATAATATGTATTTGCCCAACAGATACAAATCCATTAACAGGACAAAAATAAATACAATTCAGACTTTACAATTAAAATTAAAATAAAATAAAATATAAAGATAATGAGAACACTCCATCACTTCTTCTGAAAAAATATGTCCGCATAATGATCATTGGCATTTTTACACAATCGACAGAGTGGTGAATTTTTCAGAATATTAGTTCGCGAGGTTGGAAAACTAAATGTCACTGAATGACGAGCATTTCTTCTCGGTACATGGAAGTTAACTTCAGACAAAATATTGGGACAATCTACCTGATCATGGATTATTTTCCACATAAAGTGAGCACTCTGCAAATTTCTTCTTGATGTCAAGGACTGCATGTTGTGTTGCTGAAGTAAAGTTTCATAATGAACATTCCTTGCTGGGTATACACCTGTAGTTTTAAATGATAGAAATTTGAGAAAACGACGCTGGACACGTTCAATAAGTAGTTGATAAGTAAGATAACACGGAGACCACACAATCGAGACATATTCTAGCTTACTACGGACAAAGGAAGAATATAGTGACTTAAGCAGGTCTGTATTTTTGAAATACGTGGCGGAACGCATTACAAATCCCAAACTTTTGGATGCAGATGAGGTTATAGCTATAATATGTTGAGAGAAACTGAGCCGATGATCAAATATAACCCCCAAATCTCTGATGGTATCAGTTTTGACTAAAAATTGACCATTTATGTAGTAAATAGAAGGTATAACGCTGTTATTACGACAAAAAGAAACATAGAAGCACTTGTTAGTGTTTAATTTTAAGTGATTATCAGAGCACCATTGTACAATAAGATTAATATTATTCTGGAGATGGTCAACATCATTAGCTGACGAGACAGGAGAAAAAAGTTTTACATCATCTGCAAAGCCAAGGATAGAGCAAGACGTGGACATTAAGAGATCATTAATGAATAACAGGAACAGCAGGGGTCCAAGATTGGAACCTTGTGGTACGCCAGAAGTGGACATGTAATCAAATGATTTATAACCATTGTAATAGACATAGTTGAGCCTGTTGATTAAATACGAACGTAACAATGCAAGGAATGATGAACCAACACCGAACATATCAAGCTTGTTTAGCAAAATTGAGTGATCCACTGAATCAAAAGCACTTGAGAGATCGGTATACACCACGTCCACCTGGCCACGCTGATCCAAAACTTTACAAACAAATTGAGTGAAGACACTTAGATTAGTCTGTGCAGATCTTCCAGGAACAAACCCATGCTGATTCGTTGAGATTAAGGATCGAGTATTGTTAAAGAGTGACAAGTAGATTATCTTCTCAAACACTTTCGCAAAATTACAAATAATAGCAATAGGCCTATAATTTTTTATTTGCTTCTTATCATTCTTTTTAAAAATAGGTGTTATTCTAGCTCGCTTCCATCGATCAGGAAATATTGACTTCGAAATGGCCATGTTAATGATGAACGTCAACGGTTTTGCCAGAGCAAACCTGGCGTCGTGCACCAAGAAGCTAGGAATTTGATCATCACCGGCTGTATGTTTACAAGAGAAAGTCGACATTATTTCTATCACCTTATCCTCCGAAACAAGTTGCAAATTAAAACATGGACCACTGAAAGAAGCACTAACATCATCTCTCGACTCTGACTCTCCTGGCAGAAACATGTTAGAAAATAATTCTCCAAAGGCATCTACTATGTCCTGTGGATTTTCATATGTTATATCTCCGTTATACATTTTCCCAGGAATTCTAGAAGTTTTGTTTCTCATGTTTAGGTAACTGAAAACACTTTTTGGATTATGTTGGATAGACTGCTCGATATCAGTCATATAGATCTTGTAAGCCTCCGATATACTACTCTTAGTGACAGCACGAAGTCTCTTAAACTGATTTAAGTAATAATTAGAGTTAGTAGACCTCCATTTTCGCCTATAAAAGTTTTTAAGTTTAATATTCGAAATTATAATTGGTGTAAACCATTGTGGGTAAGACGATTTACCGGGGCAACGCTGAGGAACTGATTTTTCTAAAGTGATATATAGAATGCTATAAAATGTATTCAAAGCAATATTGACATCAGTGCATGACATGACCTCAGTCCAGTCAACGTCATAAATATTTTGATACAAAGTAATAAAATCAGCTCTACGAAAATTAAACATTTTCTTAATTGCTAATGGAAAAGTCATACTGTCAGCTGCCAATGAGAACTGCATCGAAATAAATAACGCAGGATGAAAAGAATCTTCCTTAACGAATGGATGTTCATCACGTTCCACTTTGATTTCATGTGACATATTCGATAAAACTAAGTCTAACAGCTTATTCTGATCATTAAAAACATTGTTAAATTGATTTAGTTCAAGTGTGCTGGAAAAATTTGAAAGAAGACGAACTTTAGAACATGCTGCATTTGAACCATTATAACCAGGAAGATTAAAGTCACCAATAAGTATTGCAGGTTTATCTACGAGTATTGCTTCCAACGCATCAAAAAACAATTCATATTCATGGAAATCAAGCGAAGGAGGTATGTAACAGGCAACCAGAAAGAATTTAAAGTGAAAGAACTGACATCTACATATAATAACATCAATTAATGGCACCAACAAGACAGTAGGAGTGTCCATCACTTCGAACTTAATTTTATCAGATAATCCGACAAGAACGCCTCCACCATCCCGTTTATTAACAATATCAAATAGGCAACCAATAATTCAACTCTTGTATAGATTCACTACATATCTAAAGGAGAAGCAAATCTTGATTTTCAATTTTAGATATACAGATTCCTTCAAAAAAACAAGTTTGGGCTGTCATATTTTGTTCATTATCTCACAACCTTATGATTTTTTTCATAAAATTATGGGATTTATGCTTAATGAATGATTTTTTGGAATTTCTCTAAATCCTGAAATTTGTTGGAATTCCCAGTAAAATGAAGCCAAATTTTTGTATGAAATAAATTATAAGCTAACGAAAAACACGTTTGGATTATCGTTTCGTTTTTAGAAGTACCTTAGACTGTTTGTTTAACGATGAAAAAGTTCCCGAAACCTGTTAATGTTTCACTTTGTGAGTAACAATATTGTCCAGTTCTTTCGTGTTTTGTTTTTAGTAGTAAATATTTGAAACAATTTAATTATCGTACAATATATAGAAGTCGACAAAACTCTCTATCTATTAAAATCGCAATTTCAAATGTTCATA